AATCTTTCTAACTCTTCAGCGGCAACAGTTTCTGTGGTGCATAGTCTTTTGAACAGTAGTAGTTGTTCGTTGCAAAATGAAGTTAACAAAGACAGAGTTCATTTGCAAATTATTAAGTGAACAGAATAACTTACCATGGCTACGGCCGATAGTAACATCCGTATGCGGCAAGAAATCTTTGTTTAACAAAACAAATCGCCGAGAAGAAAGTGTAGAAGATATGTGTAGCTCGTCCAATTTGCACCATGGTACGTGCATTTGTCTATCTGGTCATAAATTTAGGAGGATGTCGAGATTCGAAAGCACGGAGTGATTCTTTTTCGTCTTTGGAAAATCTTTAGCAAAGCAAAACTGATGCTACATTATATCGTTTGATTTTTTCATATTAAGTCCATTTTTTGAATAAAACCTCGAAAAATTTAAACTGTAGAACGAGAGCTGTTTTATAATCGATTGAAGGTATTCTATTGTCCTCAACTCAAAGATTGTTACCTCTTTGTGAAACTATCTTGCTAAAACATTTGATGAGGTGTTTAGTGTAAGTTAGGAAAATATTTTGTATATTTGAGGACGATTACAAAAGAAAAGTATTTAAGAAATCGGTAAAGGATAAAAATAAAGATCTTGGCACCGATCAATCCCTGATGGATGAGCCGTGTATTCTAATTAGTTAAGCATCATGTGGAGGTGCTTGAATGCATATCTGGTCTTTACAGTGATTCGCGATGGCCCACCGATGTATCGAGTCAGTGTTGTTGCACTCCCAGACATGTCAGGTACCAATTTGCCAACCCCAGAGGAATGGAGGGCTTGGTGAGCCAGGACCGCCGGAATCGATCCTATGTGTATTGGCGCCTTCGACCACTGCGACACACGCGCCCATTAAAAGTTTCTAAACAAAATTAACCACTTGATAATTTGAATTCAAAAACATACACACACAATTAATCGCCACCAGATAGAAAGAGAAAGGACATCTTAGTACACTCTTCATTTCACGCGAAAAGCGCGTCCTCAACGCGCTCTCTATACGGAGCATCGATCAAGGCGGGGGCCGAATGTTTGTGCGGTGTCAGGAGTGAGTCCAAACGATTGTGAACACTTTGGTGCAAGGTTCACAACCGCTGGATCGTTAACAGAATTTGGAGTGTTGGGGTGAGGAAGGAAACTTGCCCCAATAACATGATGGCAGCGAGAACTCGTTCACCATGAAGAGCATGGGTTATATCACACAGGTCGAGTAACCTAGGTGATCGACCAGTTACTACGAAGTAGAATCCTCAATCACAAAATGGTTCAAGACATGCATTCGAGGACATCGTAAAAGCTGAATCATGTCAGCACGAGTAGTTTGCTCACGTCCTTTGTTTGATTTGAATTTTCCAGTTAGATTGCCACTGTTTTCGTGGTATATGTGGAAGACAATTTTTTATTACAACAAATCACCTTCGACTCATCGACTCATGATTGCTGCCATAAGTGTTTTATCCATGCACGCTCGTTTGATTGCATGTTTATAACTTAAGGCTCGAATTCAACAATGATGCTGAAAGTTCAGCAGAGGATTGTCCAGTTTTCTTTTTTTCATTATTGTTAAACTCTGGTAAAATTCTGTGTGGTCACAGCAAGTGGGGTAAACTACAGCAAAGCTTTTTGTTTTCGTTTTCTCCTCAAAACTTGATGATAAGTGACCTAATTTCGTAACAAGTTGACTTAACATAGTCTTGAAGGTGGAATGTTTAACAATAGAAAGGAATTTCAAACTGAATATAGTGGTTGCACATCGTGAACTTGTAGAGGATCTACAGACAGTTTATAGGGAAATTTAAACAAAAAGGTGGTTAAGCGATATGAAGCAAAAGTAAATATCGTTAATAGCGAACACAGTTAACACAGGAGATGTGCGGTAATGTGGTAAATCGGAACTATTCAGGGGAATAGTTACTATGTTCCGCCACTCCCCATTCCCTGATTAAAATACTGGTTTAAGGTGTCTACAAATTTAGTAACTGAATTCTACTTTATGAGGTAGAAAGGAAAGAATGAGAGGATGTGTCCTCCAAAGAGTCTGTCGAAGAAAAGGTCCGCATACAAAGATTTCCAAGAAAGAAATCAAAGATTCATATAATAAAGTGGATATGTATAAAAAATGAGCATACGCCATTCCGTGGAGTCTTTCTCCTATCTCTTCCGCCAGGGTTCGATGGGGCATGTTTCTTGCTTCGTGTTGTTCAGAAAACTTGGGTAAGCTGCAACGTTAAGGGCCTTTCTTCATAGCCTGTTCGCCGAGTTGGCCTTGTTGTGCTCATTAAGGAATGGTACGTAGAATTATCTGTGAATATAATGGGAGACGCCTAATAATGCACAGCAGCAATGAAGAAATTGTGTGTAATATTACGTATAAGAACATTGTGGCGAATTATCTAAATGTACAATAAGAGACGTGTATTTTGACGAAGTGCTCGTCATGAAAACATGGAAAATGCCGTGGATCATGCATAGCAGAATTTCTTCTGTGTTCCTCATCCCCAGGTTCATCTTTGTAACCTCCTTGCCCACCAATTTCTTCGGAAAGCACGTATTCTTTATCATCAGAGTAATGATGTTGTGAAAGCGAATCATATCGCATTGCAGTGAAGCATTGCAGTCCATCTATCCTATAGACTACCAAGCAGTCGACTAGTTTCTGTACGACCCAAGTACAGCGAGAAACGCAACTAAAAAAATAAGAGACAGCGGTTGCCACTGTACGAACGGGAGCAGCTATAACTGCTCAGCTAAAAACGTCTATGATGTGGTCACAAATGTGGAGCCATACAGATATGGATAATAAGAAACAAAAAATGAAACAATGAACGATTAATCCAAAACCATCGCGCCATCCATTGGAATGTTTCGATTGGATAAGACACTGTTTTCATCGTCGCAGACAAATCTGATAAGAATTTGTTGACCTGTCGTTTTTTTCATGAGCAGACAGAGGGCTGTTATTAGATTACTTATTCATAAAGGCTGACATTTCGGCGGTTTCGCCTTCTTTAGATCACGGAAAGTCAGTTTGACGCGCAATCTACTCATTTGATCATTTTCATGAACGTAGGACAAAAACTCTACCTAAATTTCAATATCATGGCAAACAGCTTCCCTTAAACACTGACCGTTTTCGAACATGCGATTACCCTTTCCGAAGACACGTGTTAACCACCACTGCCGATTTTTGGTGCCCAGATTCCCATTGATGAATGATTACTGTTAGCACTATTAGGGCAAAGTATTTACTGAGATAAAGGCAAAGCAAGGGCCTCCTTGGCGCGGTAGGCATCATGTGAGCCCCGAAAAAGGTAATCGCTGGTTCAAATTTTGCCAAAGGCGGACGTTTTGCAAATATCTCAGCACCACCGTGGTTGCGCTACGCTAGAATATTCTATGGTTATCGAATTACAAATGATAGAATACTGCATATATATTTTTTTAATATAAGTGAGTTTATATAGAATATTTATAAATAAAATTGAATTTATATAAAATATATATATATATATGTATAGATATATTTATATAGCCATATATATATAACCGTATACATATAAATATGTATATCTATGTATATATATGTGCATATATACATATATATGTAACCTTTTTACTTTGTGCCTGCTGTTATTTTTCGCGGCAGCATAAGATGTGAACTACAACCACAACGATGCTGAAATATTCTCAAAACTTGGACCCCGGTCATGTCTACATTTCTTAATCGCGTTTCTCGTTGCACTCGGGTCATACAGAAACCAGTCGAACCCTTGATAGTCGATAGGATATGTGGATCTGCTGCACAACGATCCGATATGATTCGCGTAGTCGTTTAAAGAATGCACTAATTGTAACGACGAACCCGAATAGGTGAAAAATTAAGCGCAGCATCAAGAGCGATTAGCCAACGTGAGACAGAAGAGGTAGCACACCTGAATCGAATGAAACCAGATTGTCGATTGGATAAGAACCATCTATCCAATCGACAATCTGGTTTCACTCGATTCAGACCATACTATCGAAAGGCAATGTCGGCGTAGTACTTTGGAAAAATTGTGTAAAGTTAACACTGTCCAATCAGATGTTATTTCGGAAGACGGTGGAGTGAACTGGTCAAGCTATGTCTCCCTTTGTAGCGCATTACGATAATAGTCTGCCATAAGATTCATTATACCGCTGCCTTTTCACATGTTGTTATATTAGTAATATTTGACGATATAATCTTAGGATAACAATAAAGTTCACGCGAACAGTAACTACGGAGGAATGATTCCCTTTCATGAAGGCATAAAGAGATTTATCGCATGTTAATAAGCACGTAGCAACGATTTTTTCACTAAGAATGGTGTCTGTCAACTGGCAAATTGATTAGAGTTTCTCGAGAAACAGAACATTTCCTTTCCACTTCACTCTCAACCAATTTCCGCCTTTACACAAAACAAAATCGTTCCGGTCACACTCAACACTCGAGCAAAGCCCACAAGACCGTTCAATACACAGATTCTGTTGCTATGAAATTTTTAATTGACGCAAAAAATGAAGCACTAAATTGCTTTGCACTTTGACCTCACTGCTCTCCTAGCAATGTAACCCAACCACCGTACGTCGCCGATAACATGGCCCATGTAATCGTTGCAAAATGGCAATAACAATTTGTCAGCACGATAAAAAAGTAAACCGAACGAAAATGATATCACTACCGTCTCTTCAAGAATTTATTTGCGAATATTAGAGAGGCAGGACACGTTATAGACGAGAGAATCGGGAGATCAGATGATAAGCAGCGCAAGGACGATGAAACACGCATCTGTATCGCAATCTGATTTCATAAAAGAGAATATTATGTGCAATAAACTAAACAAGTACAAATTTCCAGCATAACAGTTCGAATAGGAACATTACAAAACACGACCTAACATGTATAATAGATAGGAAAGCCATTAATATGTACATTGTTTCACTCACGGATTCTACCCCAGGAGGATCTTACGCATCTTCATGTTGTTCGGTAAGTCATCGTCAGTATCCGATGAGCTCTCAGATGACGAGTATGCCGGCACTGTCGCAGAGCATTTCGGTGAACTGAAACATGGGCTTCTATCTCTACCTTGGCGTAAGCACTACTCCGATACTAGAAAAACAAAACACGAAGAGAGAAAGATAGGGTGGAAAAAAGAAAGAGAAAGAAAGAACTCACCATAAGAATTGTAACAGTGGAACGCGATACTTCCCACAAAAGTCGACAAATTTAACATGTTCAACACAAGCTTCGAAATAAACACCTTTACATTTAGGATTAACACACTGATTGGCAGAATTGAGATAAGCAATAAGTTCTCTGGAAAAGAATTATATTTAATTCATCACGAGTACGTTTATTGAGATATTCTTATTTAATATTCATGATAAATAGGGTTATATTTAAAAGAATCTAAAATTTCCCTTTGATGTCATTTTCAGGATCATAAAAAGCTAAAGGATAAAGAGTATAAGGCTCTATGAGTTGATCAATCCCTGAGGGATGCGCCATTCATTAGACTTCATTTTAAGCATCGTTTGGATGTAATTGAATGCATATCTGGCCTTTACAATGACTTGCGGTGGCCCACCGATGTATCGAGCCAGTGTTGCTACGCTCCCAGAAAAGTCCGGCACCAACTTGCCGACACCGGAAGGATGGAAGGCTTGATGAGCAGAATCGATCAAATGCGTATTGCAGGGTGCCTCCCAACACTGCGCTACATGAGCCCACAAAAAGTCAATAAACGAAATCAATCACTTGATAGTTAGAGTCCTACCCTTAGTTTCCGCTGGTGATCGCATCCTACAATACTTATTTTTTTGCCATATGCACTGAGAAACGAAATTAATTCACGTCAGCCGATTTTCCATTCGCCCACGTACAAAATCATATACGGCCTCCTCGCTCTCGCTATCTCTGTACCATCCTCACCATCGGTATTTACGATGGCTTAAGGTGCAAATTCGTCCGAAAAACCTTCAGTATATTAGGAAATGTAGAGAAAAGTTTTTTGAATTGCCACCTGGTACAACGTTTGTGTTGGGTATTTTATTCATTAGTTTCAAAAATCACATTAAAAAACTTTTGTATGGCAAAATTAATGATTTTACGGAAATGAAAATAAATCCGCACGCCATGGACTATAAGTGTTAAAAACTTCAAAAAGCTCCCGGAAATAACATAGAAGGATTTAATCAGGAATGTCAATCACATACTTCGTTCAAAAACTTGTTTCTTCTCACTTTACTGGGCTAAACTGGTCTCAATTTCTGTCTATTTCAGATCTATGTCTATGTCTAAAAGAAAAATTGGATCAATCAGTTTAAAATAACGCTGAGAGAGTAAAGCTGCTAAAACAAGATATTTTGGCTAATTCTTATATAAAATCTAGCTTAAAATGCCTTTCTAGCAATTAGTACCCTCATACACAAAATTTCTCCAATCTATCCAAAGTCATCCTAGCTAGAATCAAAAATGTTGTCTTTAACAAGAGTCATTTCTGAATCAATAACAATAACAATAATAATTATAAGTAGAATAAATAAAACTAAAGTGGACAATGTAAAATGACCTTGTTGTGTTGAGCAAGTTCAGAAGTACGTCTCTAGCGGGAACGATGACCAGAGGAGAACTGTAAGCTGTCTTACCTTGGCAGCACATCATTGATCGGTAACCTGGACATTTTTAATCGAACTAAACGGCCAGCGAGCTCTTTCAATTTGGGTGGTGCGAGTTGCATGTTGTGCACGAAGTGATTGACTGAAAAAGTTTACAACTGAAAAAAATGAGTAAAATAGAGGTGTGTCAAACGCGGATTATGCTATATTATCCTACCACGACCACAATTCATTCAGATTCACTGATTCATGCGGACATAACCTTGAACTATCTTTTCCATAAATAATAAAACGTCTCCTCCCAACGGTTTACCTCCTCATCGTGGCTGGGAGGTGTTCCTGGGTGTTGGGCTGCGATGTACAGCGAGGGGATTCACCCCACGGAGGGGTCTGCCACGATGAGAAGGAGACTGACGTTTCCATTACGAAGCCCAGCTAATACTAAACCAATACTAGGATCCGTCACCATCCAGGTACCAAACTAGTCGCATGGTGTAAATCTCCCTCTGATCCACAAGGGCGGCGACCGCCTGAGGTGGTGACGCCTTGGGACAAACCTTAGGCAAGCTGACCTAGGGAATTCGGGGAATCACAATGGCTAAACCAGCAAAACAGAAAAATTGAGATTATGCAAGAGCCCGTACAACTAGTGAGGACGGGCCATTTGGATATCCCAGTAATAAAACGTCTTAGCAGAACGATGAAAATAAGTCAGAACTTCTGCAACAAGCTTAACATACCCAAGGGATTTTGTCTGAGACTCAGTTGCTGGAGATTTCGGAGCTTAACGATCTCTGTAGGGAGTGTCTAAATAAGTAATATTGAGTACTAATTAAAAATTAACCAAACTACGGAAAAATTTTACTGATAAAACACACTCGGAGTACATTATTATGCAGTGATAGGTTTTCTAGGTTTCGTAGCTCTCCAAATGTGGATGGGATTGTTTCGAGCTGATTATCGCACAGGGAAAGTGATGAAAGTCGTTGAAGACGTCCTATAGTCGCTGGAACGTCTTTCAATAGATTCCCACCGAGATAGAGAATCTCCAACCTGCAAAAAGCGACTCGGTCTATATGTTCTAATAGTGATTTCAAATTTCTACGCATTATCGATTTTATATATTAAAAAATATCGTGTATTCATGAATGACTTTGCCACACTTTTCTTTTAATTTTGAATGTGTTTAAACAGTCTTGTTCCGAAAATCACAAAAAGAAAAATCACAGTAACTGGATGCATATGGACTTCCAAAAAAAGAAGCCAAGTTGGGCAAGCAGATCATGACTCAACTGCAAAGATTCTTCTAAAGAATGTGTTTTTGCGAACATTTCGTTAATTCTACATAAAGGTTTGGTTTTGCAACAGCAACGAGGTGCTCATCTACCCAGTACTACCCGCATGGGAATGATCTGCGAAATAAAAAGCGTGGCTCCTCAGAATTGGAAAGGAGGCGAGCAGATTAAGCAGCCTAAATAGGACCATGCAGACTACATCGAAGCAAGAAAAAGAAATCGGATCACTGCCAATCTCCACAACGTTTGTGCTACATTAGCAGTACGAAAGTACAACTAACCCCCTCCAAGGAGTTATCACAAGGGAGATGCCACGAGAACTTCGTTCTAAACATCTAACAGAAGAAATAAGAGATTCCGAACCATATTGACAAGTACAAACTAACGAGCTTTCATGATAACTATTAAACTGAAGTTGTCATTTACCGATATATCAAGCCCACAACTGGAACACCGACCACACGCTCACACTCATTCACGAAGATCATACAAAGAAAACATGATTTTTTCACTCCTTTCGGTTGTAATGTTACTCTTAATTTCACCCTTGCTTCTCAAACTTCCTCAAAATGACTAAAACACTCAACCAATAATGTTTTGCTTGGTCGTTTTCTAACAGAGTATCCCAAAAAAAACTTTAAATTTCTACCACAGTCAAACATACTTGATTAAGCAACCGATGTCGTATGGGACACTCTCGATACGATTGCCACCCAGATGCAAAATACGCAAACGACACATTTTGAGAACGGCCAATGGTACGATCTCGAAGCGGTTTCCGGACAGATAAAGCGCTTCCATTTGATCCAGTTTGTTCATACTTTTCGGCAAATCTTCGAGCAAGTTATTGCGCGCCGAAAACGTCCGCAATTGCGTAAGCGCACCGATGTCTTCTGACAGAACGGATAAACTGTTATTGGAAACGTCTAGGCTGAAATGCCAGCTAAATGTATTTTTAAAAAAAGCAACTAAAACCACAACTGGAAACGAATGAAACTCTCACCTAACCAAATTCTTAAACGCTGGTAAACAAGAGAGATGCAAGATGTTATTCTTGCTGAGATTCAAACGACGAATCTCAGCTGGATTATATTCCTCATCGGTGATCGGACTACGTTGCGGAACTCGTTCTAGTTGCATTCCTTCGAAATTCAAATCGATCTCATTGGAACTGTAAACAGGGAAAAGTGAAAACGAACCAGAAGCAAATGTATGATGGAACACACCTTCCAGGCTGTTCAAGAGGCAGATCGCGAAGTGAGCGTTGTGGCTCGATACTCGGCAACATAGCGCGTACGACCACCACAACTGTTTTGGTACTGGCGTTGGATCGAAGTCGCTGATCGGCGTCATGTGCTAGCCACATGCAAGACCGCCCATCGGCCCGCCTATCCGTCCGCTCGTCCCCTCGCACTTTGATCTTTCTCCTAGGTTGGTCGATACGACCCACGCCCTCTCCATTCCTTCCCGTAACAACCTTGTAATGAATCATGCAAAAGTACAAGTGCACTTAGTGAACACTGTGTCTGGAATTTTCCTTCCGTATATATTGAATGCCTCTGACGCTAAGCGAATTGCTGATTACAGCTATCAGAATAAAACCAAAAAAACCACCTTTTCTCAGAATTAGCGTCTGATAACTTATGATCCGCTAACCCTTTTTACCGCAGCTGCAGTAATTATTATTACCCTTGATGTAGGGCGCTGGTAGTGCAATGATAATGATATCATCCATTATGCAGACGTCCCCACCCAGCCATGCGTTGGCTCGATACTTCCTCGGACCCAAAAACCTCTCATCCCTCCGGAATCCGGAAACATATATATTCTGTGTCTGAGAACACTTAACTCCATCCAATCAAAGTGAGGACGCCATAGCATACTTAAAATAGAACTCAAAAGAGAATACAAGAAATGCTAAGATTTACGGAAAGTGGTACATCTGATGTCGGAACATAAAATGAAGAAAATTTTTGATGTCAATATTAAGAATCGTTGTCAATGTAGAAATGAGATATCCATTAGAAATATGGCCAGTACAGAGGCATCTGCTTTAAGAGCAAAATATAATGTTCCCTGATATATTGCCGATTTTAGTTAACTAATTTCCTAGTAAAATTTCTCATGGTGCAGCACGGCGGGCCCGAGTTAGAAAAAAATACTTGAGTCCTTGGATACCCACTCCTCGCGTACTGTGAATATCTAATTAGTTCTTCTATTCGACTTGTTGTAATGTAATTGTCATCATTAGAGGTCTTTAGGTCCCTGTGTGTTTTCATTTACGAGTTCAGCTACCAGTCATGTTTTCTTCTGGTTGAGATGTTTATTTTTATCTACGGTTTTCACTAGAATCGACATGGCTACACTATCACGTTGCCACGTATTTACCACGTACTCGCCGACCTTTGTGAATCGGGGAAGGTCACTTATCGGTGAGCAGGAATCTTTCAGAACTACACTGACTAGTTTTGTTAGTCGAAGACACAACATATAATCGTGGGAACTAATAAATGGTACAAAAGCCTCTATTGACGACACAGAAACTATACTTTATTGATATTCTGCAAGCAATTTCACTTAGTTGTTGAACATGGCTTTGGCTTACCCAGTATTTTTCTAAGGTTACTTCCTTAGTAGACCAACCTATTTCTCATTCTTAATGGTCTGACATGAAGTTGTTAATGCAGAATTTATCTTGCTTTTGCATGCATTCCACGAATTATCGTCCATATCAAAGCCTCGAGGAGGCAGGTGATATCTTGGCATCGACAACGTATCAGCACAGCTCTTCACTCTTATCGGATGAGTCTGTTATCAATTAACCCAGTCGGCAGGGGTTGAGCCTTTGGTCTCGTTGGGGTCTTGTGAAAAACTAGAGGGAATGCTCACGAAAGAAAACATTTCCAAGCAAAACATAGAAATCTCTGAAAATCACCGGAGATGGTCAACAAATCAAGTAATGGGAGAGTAATGAGAAATGTATTGCTCGCATAAGAGTTTCCCGCCTTCAGAATTGCATTCCTCAATTGCCTTCCACTTAATTCATTTCAATCCTGCACAATTAGGGTTCATAATTGCCAACATTACAGTAATGGAAAGATGAGAATCTACAGACGAAATCAAATGAAGCCAATGAACAATCTTGACCGCTTTATTTGCTGTCTACTTTTTTTTTGATGGCAGGGTATATTGCGAAATATAACTACTATTTTTTTTTCTTTTTATTTTTTACTATTTATCAAGTTTTATCTGCTAGGGTTATGAAAGTGTTTGGCTGAGTAGATCGCATCTCAATTTGACCTTTCCAGGCTCTGAAGAAGGCGAAACCGCCGAAACGTCAGCAATTGTGTTCTAATAAATTCTATATTAACAACCTCGTGTCTGCTTATTGATGAAAAACATTGAATAACTACTATAATACTGAGATATTTGCAAAACTCCGGACCGCAGGTCTCTGCGGTGGGGAACGAACGCGCTCTTGTCCTTTCCAGGGAGTAACGCGTTCACCACCACACCATGCGGATTCT